GTTTGCAATTTAAGGTTATGATTATAATGCCATTGAATGCAAAGGTGCAAGCGAGCTGGACATTAATGATGAAAACAATCCCTGGAGAAGGGGAACAAGAGGGACAAAGGACAAACACAGATCTCCAAACACAGCTAGGTGACTGGTGCGCGACCGAAAAAATCTGCCTGGTCCGGGTATCGAACCCGGGACCTCTCCATTACAGGTGGAGCGCTCCACCGACTGAGCTAACCAGGGGTTAGACGTCAGTAGAGCAAACGGGTTTTATCAGCCGCCACCAGTCTAACACCAACAAGGGTGAAGTTTGCAATTTAAGGTTATGATTATAATGCCATTGAATGCAAAGGTGCAAGCGAGCTGGACATTAATGATGAAAACAATCCCTGGAGAAGGGGAACAAGAGGGACAAAGGACAAACACAGATCTCCAAACACAGCTAGGTGACTGGTGCGCGACCGAAAAACTCCGCCTGGTCTGGGTTTGGAGATTTGTGTTTGTCCTTTGTCCCTCTTGTTCCCCTTCTCCAGGAATTATCTTCATCATTAATGTCCAGCTCGCTTGCACCTTTGCATTCAATTGCATTATAATCATAACCTTACATTGCAAGCTTCACCCTTGTTGGTGTTAGACTGGTGGCGGCTGATAAAACCCGTTTGCTCTACTGACGTCTAACCCCTGGCTAGCTCAGTTGGTGGAGCGCTCCACCTGTAATGGAGAGGTCCCGGGTTCGATACCCGGACCAGGCGGATTTTTTCGGTCGCGCACAAGTCACCTAGTTGTGTTTGGAGATTTGTGTTTGTCCTTTGTCCCTCTTGTTCCCCTTCTCCAGGGATTATTTTCATCATTAATGTTTAGCTCGCTTGCACCTTTGCATTTAATTGCATTATAATCATAACTCAAATGTCATCTTAGCAAATTTCTGCCAAAACTAAGCTACAGCTGTGTGTCCGAAATCCTCATAAACGTGTTGATATGTCACCTAGAACTTTACTTCATTCGACACCGTGTAACAATTTTAATTGTAAACCTTTGCCATGCGATAATTGTGTCAAATATCTGGGATTATACGTGGACGAACATTTATCATGGAATCAACATGTGGAATTTGTGGCTAAAAGACTACGTGCCGTTTCAGCATATCTGTACAGAACAAGAAGCTTGTGCAGCGTAAAGATAAGACTACTTATTTATTTATTTATTTATTTATTTATTTATTTATTTATTTATTGAAAGTACCCTCAGGGCCCGAAGGCATTACAGAGGGGGAGAGCACATACATGAAACAAAGATAGTAATATAGAAACAAGTCAACAATATTAAATATACAACAAACAAAGAATAATAATAATAATAGGTCATGGGTCACTGCTAAAAGAGCTAGTGATGGAATTTCTAAACAAGTTAGTATCAGTTATAGTGGCAATCAAACCGGGGAGGTGGTTCCATTCTTCGGCTGTGCGGGGTAAAAAAGAAAATTGAAATGTTGTGGTAAACGAACTTGGAACTCCAACTTTATGCTGATGGTCAAGACAGGATGAAATGTAAAAGGGGGGAGTAATCATCCGATTGCGTAGGAGAGGGTTATGAAAATACATTTTATGAAATAGACATAGGCGTGAAATTTTACGTCGCAAGGAGAGAAGTGGTAAACATAAATGTAAAAATGCAAAAAAATGTGTACAGGTCGTTATCTGAATCTATTCTACGATATGGAATCACCTTATATGGACGCTGTTCTCCATATACGAGGAATGCAATATACAGAATGTTAAAACATATCGCGAAAAACACTACATACGGAACTTTGCACGGAACATTACAGATAGAAAATAAAGCAAAGAAGCTGCAAATAATTATTTCTATGATTCTACGATCAAGGTTCCAGTGGACAAGCCTAGTGATCTAAGGCCTAAAGAAAGGTTCAAAACCCCCACAATTTACACACGGTATAGAAAAAGATGTAGAACTGACTATATTCCCACCATATGTAATGAGCTCACTGAGCCTTTAATGAAAATAAATTCAACAAACGTACTAAAAAATAAATAAATAATTGGTGCCTCTCATTACCTCCATAAACACCGCTTACACTTTGATCCCCTGTATACTTGCCTCATAATGTTTTATATCAGTTCTGTTCATTTAGCCTTGTGCCTAAATTGGGCTCTATTTTGTATTAATGTTGGTATCGATGGCCACATTACACTCGTTCGATTTTTTATATTGCTGCATTTATATGTATATCGCTGGATTGACTGGTCCTACGCACAAGCAGTATACTGCTTTTGTAGGCCAGCATTATGTATATGTATTTGCAAAGTGATTAAAAACATTATTATTATTATTGTTATTAAGCATTGGGATATGGCTGGAGTGGCGTTACTGTGTAGCTATAGCGTTTTAATGACTCTAGAATATATTGACGGTATGAGTCGCGTTTATGAGACCGTTAACGTTTAGACGAAAAAAAAGGGGGGGGGGGGGTCGAAATGAAACTAAAACGAAATATCTCGCGATCTCGGCCAGGATGAAACTTTTGCACATTATATTCCTTATTTAATTTTACGAAAGAAGTACACATAAAGGAGAGAACAAGGATAGCCCGTCCGTGCTGTGTCCTTTGCGTGTAATTCTTTCGTAAAATTTTATCAAATACCATCGCGCTCTCTAAAAACAGTTCTTAATTTTGTGATAATATAGCAAGGGTGTAAGCGGGGGAGCTGGTGAATGTTAACCACGTTGAATAAACCTGAGATTGGAGGAGAAATGAACGCGTAAGTCGATGGAACGGAAAAGGATAGGACGGCGTCTCAAAACTCAGCTACCAGGTTTATTTAGCCCGCCTCCTTAAGGCCCGTTCACACTCTTGCGACCGAGTACGACTGAGAGAGACGAGATCTCCTAAAACTTCTTAAATGTTTTTAGAATGAGGGAACACAACTGGGCATTGTGGTGCCATCTATGCGGTGACCCTGGAACTGCATTTCGCAAGAGCGAAGGTTTTGCGGGATTTCCGAGGTCAAATGTGCGTAATACCCATAGAAAGGCTCGTTTATAACATTGACAAAAGTTTTTAGAGCCAAAAAAGAAAGGATAATGCGCGAGAAATAAAAAAAAATATGCCGGACAGCCGAGTTTACACTGCTTCCCAATAGATGGCGCCAGTGTGTTCTTTGATTTAAGAAGTTTTAAGGAACTAAGGTTTAAGAGGTCGCAAGAGTGTGAACGGGCCTTCACTCGTTATACAACTCACAATCAGCCACCAGCAACACAAAGGGGGCTGACGAAATAAACCTTGTAGCTGAGTTTGAGACGTCCTCCTGTCGTTTTCTGTTCCTTCGACTTGCGTGTTCATTCCTGCCCCAGTCTTAGATTTATTCAACATGGTTAACATTCTTAATTCTGCATCGATTTTTTTTTTATTTTGATTGAGAAATTTTTGGTTTTCAGTAGTGTGAGGCGTTAAGTTCGAACGTTCAAGCACGGTAAGAAAAAACACTCTGGAATTCTCGGGATATTTGTTTAAACTTTCAAAGCATCCAGCTTATTAAAAAAAAGAAAAAGAAGCAATTTGTTTAATAAACATTAAAACGTATATACACATTACCAGAGTCGTATTTATAAGTTTATATGAGAACATATCTGTTCTCAAATGTTTATCAAACACGTTCAATAATTTGAATTGGGGCTTCTTATTGCTGTGGAGTCCGTTGAAAATAGCTGAGAACGGTAGTTTTTACCTGAAAACCAGTCTTACCACTACATGCTTCGTTTGCAGCGAAGCAGGAAGAGTGCTATAATACTTCTCAAATCATGCTTCTCAATTATTTATGTTTCGCGGGCCCCTTGTGGATCGGCAGGGATGACGGAGGACCCCATTCGTGGTGAGGGGACGGCAAGGTTGTAGGTTGCGATAATTATTTAATAAATGGATATAATTAAGGCATAGTTCGAGGTAGACCTCTGTCATTCACATGCATACGAGAAAACTCACCCAAAAATTAGTACGTTTCTTCTTATTCTCGAAAAAAGACAACTTTTCTTGCCGGGCTTTACCGATGGAGACGGTGCTTCGAGGACTGTTGAATGCCTTCGCGGGCCTTGTAGGGTCGGCGGAGCCCCCTTTGAGAACCACTGCCTCTAAAGCTATCTTTTAGCCACGAAACGCACAGTGTTGACGATTCAAAACACACACGAAGCAGAGTCGTGTGAATTTCATTGTCGTTTCCCTGGGGGTCTCTCCGTAAACGCATCTTGCCAAGTTCTCTCCTTCCGCGGCGACGGTCCAGCTCAGTTTAAAACTCGATTTATCTTCCACTTCACAGCCATCTCGCGCAAAAAGTGCTTTTCCGCAGAGACGCCGCACTCTTCCACTCGTCCGATAAAATAAATGAGCGAACCTACGAACCGACAAATTCGCAACAACAAACACCGCCGACAAAAAAAAAAAAAAAAAAAAAAAGATAAAAACAATATATAAAAAAAAGATCCCGGCGATCATCACACAGAGCTGTTTCCTCTAAGCAAGAGACTCACTGGCGCCGCGATCAACTATGATCAACAAGCGCACATGCAGCGCAGCGCCTCTTTTCTTTTTTCCCCCCAACGCCACTGTGACGTCGCCGTGACGTCACAGCCCGTCGCCGCAATCCCAGTGCGCACTGCTGTGCCCGGCCTCCTCCTCTCCGTCCTTCCCCTCCGCCTCCTCCGCAGCCCGTTCGCCTGCGTCTCGCGGCCGTCCAACGCTGCGTGCGCTGTATCGAGTGAGCGCTTCGCGTTTGCCGAGTGCGCGCGCGCGAAGCGTGCGTGTCTGTTGGAGCGCGTGCGTGTATGTGTGTGTGTGTGTGTGTTCCGTTCGCATAGGTCGCTGCGCTCTCCGATGGCGTGCCGCACATGGACGAGGAGCGGGCGTGATCGGCGGACCCCTTGACAGCGTCGCCGGACAACAAAAGTGCGCGCCCCTCCACCACCCACGGCAACAGACGTCCGTCTCGAAGAGGATGGCGTCGTCTACGGCGCCGTCGTCGGGCGCCGATCACGGTGGAAGCTACGTTTCCGTGTGGCTGCGTCCGCCCGAGCAACAGGCCGCTTCCAAGAGCGCGGCCGGCCGTGTCCAAGCTCGCTGGGCCCTGCCCGCGACCGTCGGCGTAGTCGGTCTACTGACCCTCCTGCCCGGCCTGGTCTCTTGCCTGCTCTCGGCCTGTTTGCCGCTGTGGGCCATGCTCTCTGCCCACTACTGGTTCTGCCTAGTGACCCGGCGGACCTTCAAGGCTTCTGACGGCTTCGTGGTCGCGCTGGCCGGCATCGTCGGCGACCTCTCGGCGGGCGGCTTCGCCGCCGGCCTTCCGAACCCCGTCGGACCCCTGACATCCACCGTGGTCTGGGCTGTGGTGTGTTTGTGTGCCTGCAGCGTTGCGGCGCCGCGCGCCGTCCACGTCTTGCCATCGCTGGCGGGTCTGAGGCTCGTGTCCCTGGTCGCGTTCGCCGGGCTCCTCCGGCCCGCTTGGGTCCGCGCGACCGTCGGTCATCTGTGCGGTGTCGTGGGCCTGCTTGCGGCCAAGTTTACCGAGTCCGAAGTGCGCGGATCCCATGTGTCCGCGTTGGTGTCGCCAGACGGGAGACTGCTGGCCGTGCGACGTCGCCGAACCGGGAGTTCGCCCGCGCTCCACGGTCTCGTGAAGGGTCGTCGCACGTCGCTGCCCGTGCTTGGAGGACAGCGCCAGTACTACGGGCCAGGGTATCAGGTAAGACAACACGCCGGACTCGAAAGACAGCGCGCGCGGACGGGAAGTTAACCAGGGATGAACGGCGAGGCTGCGAAGAGACCGTAGTCATCTGCTCGGATGAGAACGGGAGGTTGTCCCTTTCTGATGGCAGGACCTCCAGCATGCGCTCGTCGCGTTTTGTCAATGAGACACTGTTATCGAAGGAATCTCGCGCTGCTAGGAGGGATAACTGAAGGTCCCCCCATTCCTTCCCTTCTCGTCCTTTCAGCGACTCTAACAGCGTATGCGATGAAACGTCGAGAGTTGCGTCGGTGACAGTTCGATTCGCAGGGGGCATTCGGGGTCATGCGTGTTATTTGACCGGTTTAGTTTCCGCGCAGGAAGGCAAGCCCACACCAACGACCTGCGATATTCTCAAGCGAGTGGGAATAAGCTTTATTTTATAATCAAGCAAGCGGTTATGGTGTACGACGATACGGAGAAATTCTCGGCAACTATACGGATTACGCCTTGACTCGTCGGCAGAACGCGGAAGTGGTATTTTTTCTTCTTCATTTAACTACGCTTTGTTACTTGTGTCTAAAAAAAAGAAAAACAAAATAGAAGGCCGAGGAAAAACAGCGGCAGGTTCGAATATCTTGGAAAGTTTGTGAAGAGGACGGCGGGGTTGCTGCACGTAGCAAAATGAATTTCGAACCTTCGAGGCGTCGCGTCCTCGAGGTCTTCCCTCGTTAAATGACTACGAAAAGTGCGGGGATACCCTTAACCATTGTGTATGACTGGTTGACCTCTGGCTTTGAGATTTGTATAGAGCCCCGAACCTTAATAATAATAATAAAAGTAAGCTACAAAAACAAAAAGAAAAGAGAAAAAGCAACGAGTGTGCCTTCTTTTGTAAAGTCAGCTGCATAAAACTTCCTTTTTTTTAAGCGTTACAGGTGTTGTCGAGTAGATCATGTCAAGAACAGAGCACATGTGTTTGCTAAATGACAACGGAACATTTCTGTGCCTTTTGAGTCGGAACGACAGCAACTGGGGAATGTTCATTGCGCGTCGGAATTGCAGCCACGGTGTATACACGCCGACGAGTTTAGCCCACACAAAATGTCGCGAAGTGTCTCTTGAGACCCACGCGCCAGCGGCGCTGAATTTTAGCGTTTATTTTCTGACCGGTTCCACCCGTGCACCAGACGAGGCATGGTCAGCAAGGCATACAGAAATCGATGTTTATGATATTTGTAACTCGCGTCTTTTCGCGTGTTCTTCCGCGCTTATACGTCCTTAGGTACATCTGCGTTGCCCCAAAACGAAATCGAGGGGGTTGTTGACTTCCTTTTTTAAAGAAAGTGGTGATTCTATCGTCGTTTCTTTAGTCGACTTCTTCCAGTTTTTCGCCGAATGTCAGGTGTGTTTGTACAGCCTGACACTGCAAAAGACGCGGAGGACATCGTATGCCGTTGGTTGTGAAAAGCAGTCCGTCTCCTCTGTTTGCTACTCAACAAAGATTGGGGCACCGGTATTCTTGCGCAATTGCGAGGGTTGCATTTTGTAGCGGACTAGCAGGTTCGCGAGGAGTGTCAGCTGAAAAACGACGCCATTGTTTGTGCCCTCTGACGTCCTGATGGACTTGCGCGTGTCGGGAATTCACAGCTGGATCACATCCTAACTGATAATCTGTACATCGCAAAAAAAAAAAAAAGAAGAATAAGGAAGTATGTCTAAATATTTTTTTATTTTATTTTTTTAGTATAAATGCGGCGCCGCACTGACGAAATGTGCGCAGACTTGAAAAGCAGAAATACGTTGCTTGCACGGAGACTTGAACTGCATTTTTATGTAACAATATCAGATATATATCGACGCTGACAGCTTAAAGGGGCACTCAAGTGATTTTTGTTCACGCTTGTTTTTGGTGGCATGTTATTTGTTGGGCTTTAGTCCATACAAATGACAAGTTCTAGGCGGCACAATTTCTTGGTAAACTCCCAGCAGTAGAAATACACCGGCACTATTTTCTCTTGGGAAAATAGTGGGTCCCCACCAAGTCCATAAAATTTACCAACTGAAAATAGTTAACTGCGTAGGGATTATTAACGTTACTTTTATTGCTCTTTTTGGGCGCGATGTGCGTTGCATTTTGACAAAACATATTTAGGTGTAAAATGCGTAATACAGCAATTATTGTTTGAAAGTTGAAAGCCCACAAAGAGGGGCGTGTCGCGATCCTTGATTGGATTTTTAATTGGAAAATTGGCCGCCCATAAGTGTAATTTAGACTGTTTTTTTAGGGTGCATAGAGCCCGTATATTGAGTTATCACCAGAAATAATCAATCTCAGAATCCACTTGAGTGCCCCTTTAAGGAATGCAGGGCAGATTGCCTCCCTAGCATATTGTTATCGTACCGCAGCCAATGATAATGCTGCATTACCTGATAAAAATTCGGTGATGGACGTTACACTCTGCGTTCCCTAAGCTGGCAGTCACATTATCACTAATTGTTTGTAAACACGATACCTCAGGCGTATGGGGAAAGGTAAATGATGCGCCTGTGCGCGTCAAAAGACAGCAACTACAAAAAATCTGTTGTTGTTGCTTTGCGTCGTTCTTAAATTGGGGAGGCAATCATGTAAGTCACCTGGATATGTTCTCTGCCCCGAAAATTGTGCGCTTAATTGCTTGAATACACAAATAAATATATCTATAAAAAAAGCAGCGTTATGCCGATTCTTTTGTGTTTGTTTTGATAACTGCGCTTTAGAGGAAACGGGCCCGTTGGCTAATTTAACGTGATTAAGGAAACATAATATTACGACGTGTATTGTTTAGCTAATGTCCTCGTGTTATTATTCTTTCTTAATCAAGTTATGCCCACATCTAGTTTGTCGATCTCGGGAAATGTTCGATCTAGAGCGTGTTTTTTAACTGACGTAACTTGCCTTTAGAGTGGCACTCAAGCGGATTGTGATGTCGTCTATTTATGGTGATAACTTAATCTACAAACTCTATGCATCCTAAAAAAAAACAAAAAACGAAATACAGTCGATTGTTTAAAATAAACATCCAATCAAAGATTGTGACGCGCCCCCCTTTCTGTCCCTTGGAGCGCACACCATGGGGCACCGTCATACGGCGTTTTTAAACAATAATTGCCATAATTACGTCATTGCATTTTTTGTCAAAGTAGGATGCACAACGCGCCAAGCAAAAGCAATCATTGTAACGTTCGGAACCTCCACGCAATTAACTATTTTCATTGCTCAAATTTGATGGAGGTGGTGGAGACCCGAGGATTGCACCCCCAGGGGAGAGTAGTTCCCGTGTATAAATATCGCTGTGAGTTTATTTTACTAGGATCTCTTGCCATCCAGAACTGGTCATTTTTGTTGACTAAAGCCCAACAAACAATGTACGCTAGCAAAAACAAGCTTCTACAAGACGTATTGCGCTTCACTATACTCTGGCACAGCCTCAGAAATGATGGATAGCAACCATAGCTTGTACAAAAAGGATTGCGCTTCACTATACTCTGGCACAGCCTCAGAGATTATGGATATCAACTATAGCTTGTACATAAAGGATTGCGCTTCACTATACTCTGGCACAGCCTCATAAAGGATGGATAGCAACTATAGCTTGTACAAAAAGGATTGCGCATCTCGATACTCTGGCACAGCCTCAGAAATGATGGATAGCAACTATAGCTTGTACAAGACGTATTGCGCTTCACTATAGTCTGGCACAGCCACAGGAATGATGGATAACAACTATAGCTTGTACAGAACGGAATGCGCTTCGCTATACTCTGGCACAGCCTCAGAAATGATGGATAGCAACTACAACTTGTGCAAAAGGGATTGCGGTTCACTATACTCTGGCACAGCCTCAGAAATGATGGATAACAACTACAGCTTGTACAAAAGGGATTGCGCTTCACTACACTGTGGCACAGCCTCAGAAATGATGGATAGCAACTATAGCTTGTACAGAACGGAAAGCGCTTCGCAATGTCCTGGCACAGCCTCAGAAAGTATGGATAACAACTATTGCTTGTACAAGACGTATTGCGCTTCACGCAATACGTCTTGTACGTCTGGCACAGCCTCAGAAATGATGGATAGCAACTATAGCTTGTACAGAACGAAATGCGCTTCGCTATACTCTGGCACAGCCTCAGATATGATGGATAGCAACTATAGCTTGTACAGAACGGAATGCGCTTCGCTATACTCTGGCACAGCCTCAGAAATGATGGATAGCAACTACAGCTTGTGCAAAAGGGATTGTACTTCACTATACTCTGGCACAGCCTCAGAAATGATGGATAGCAACTATAACTTCTACAAGACGTATTGCGCTTCACTATACTCTGGCACAGCCTCAGAAATTATGGATAGCAACTATAGCTTGTACAAAAAGTATTGCGCTTCACTATACCATGGCAGAGCCTTAGAAATGATGGATAGCAACTCTTGCTTGAACAAAACGGAATGCGCTTCGCTATACTCTGGCACAGCCTCAGAAATGATGGATAGCAACTATAGCCTCTACATGACGTATTGCGCTTCACTATACTTTGGCACAGCCTCAGAAATGATGGATAGGAACTATAGCTTGTATAGAAAGGAACGCGCTTTGCCCTACTCTGGCACAGCCTCAGAAATGATGGATAGCAACTACAGCTTGTGCAAAAGGGATTGCGCTTCACTATACTCTGGCACAGCCTCAGAAATGATGGATAGCAACTATAGTTTGTACAGAACGAAATGCGCTTCGCTATACTCTGGCACAACCTCAGAAATGATGGATAGCAACTATAGCGTCTACAAAAAGGATTGCGCTTCACTATACTCTGGCACAACCTCAGAAATGATGGATAGCAACTGTAGCTTGGACAAAAGGGATTGCGCTTCCCTATACTCTGGCACAGCCTCAGAAATGATGGATATCAACTATAGCTTGTACAAACAATAGCAAATATTGCTTGTACAAAGAGGAATGCGCTTCGCTATACTCTGG